TGCTTTTGGAATCAGAAGTTTCTTCGCTGAGCACTCACGCGCTGGTAAGAGAAACAGGTACACGTGTGTTTGTTGGCTCCTGTCCTGTAAAGTGAATTTGAGTTTCTTTCTAGCTGTTAGTCTGAACGGTTTTTGACCAGTTTGAGTGAGCGAGGAGGGCTCGAATTAAGCAGTCAAAATATCAGCCTTCCAGCCTTCCCCATTTTGGATTTATCGCTTGGCGCGTAGCAGAATGCATACAAACACATAGAACCTGCTCTCGGCATTATGCTCCATTGTTTGTGCTAATTGCCCAAAATTGCTTGAGAATGGGAATCAGAGTGATATACAGCACAGCACAACTCCTTTTCCACGTGGAGCAATAACTGATTCTAAGCCATCAGGGACCACGCACTGTTAGGCTCATCGTGCAGCGCTTTTTTTTTGAGCGTTTGAGATTATCTATCACCTCTTGGTTTCGTCGCTGGCGCTGCGGTTGTTGTCGTGGTTGTTGTCGTCGTCGTTGTTGTCGGCGGTTCTGAAATAATCCTGGCGCTTACAGTATACTTTTTCACTAGTAGAAATTTAAATTACCACTGCTAATTTTACATGTGCTGATGGACAGGGAACGTTCTACGATTTCAAATCCCTAACAATTCTGGTTCATGAGCCAGAAATTTCCTCGCTAAACACCGCGTACCTGCAGGGAAAGCAAATGTGTACGTCTGAGCTGAATCCCGAAATTTTTGCGGTAGCACGTGAGCATGGTGCACCCTCCTGAACTTTGAGTTATCCATCTGATCTGGCTCCCGAGTGGGAATAATGGTAGTGTGTTCTGGCTGAAGCTGTCGAATGCTAGCTTTCTGGTTGCCCCGCTGAATCTCATTTCGATGGGAGGTTGGTTATTGTTCTTATTTGAAGACGTTTGTGCTTGTGCGGTATTAATTCGGCTAACGGGCAGTGCGCGAGGTGAAACGCGGGCACAGCTCGTGTGGAGAAAGGAAAGAAAGAGAAAGTGAATTTTGCCATGACGGGCGGATACGCAGTAGATGTGCTGCCAGACTGAACCCGAAACTCGGTGACTGGTGGTGTAATGGTAACAGATCGCATCTGTTTGTGAAAAGGAGGGGTTTGATTCCCTCTCGGTTAATAACAGTTTCCGAAAGGAAACCCCTTTCACGACATATACGAAATTGGAGCGTTTGTCAGTCGTACACAATGAGTGTATGCAGCAGTTTGATTACCCACTGAGATGTGTGACCGTGCTTGTTAGGTACAGAGTAAAGAAAAAGTCAGTAGCTCCGCACACTAACGTTCTCGGTGGAATCATAAGTTTTTACACAAAATCTGAAGCAGTCAGATCATTAGCAACAAGAATTCTCGTTTATTCATAGTTTAGCATGTACTCATATGATGGCAGCGCTTTGATGGTCATTTACTGCATGAAGTAATTACGTCTGTGCACATCTAATTGGACTGTGAGATGTAATGCTCGTAGAAGAAGGGCTGATGGAAGGACAGATTATGACACGTGAAAAAGAGGGAACTGGAGGGAGTGGGACGAGAAGCCACAAAAAGAATGTAGACGAAAGTAGATTTGAAAAGTGTTATATTACTGACAAAGACTGCAGTGATGAACAAGCAAAGATACGGAATTTGCGGACAGACAAATACAGAGGACGTTTAATTCCTGTCGAAAATGTGAGGGAGAGGCGGAGAAGTGGGCGGGGAAGATGGTGGGAATAGATTTGAGTAAAGATCTACGGCTGGTGGCACTTTTCTCTCATCTTGGATACTCCAGCTTGCAACAGTGGATTCGACGATAACAACATATTCTTTCTGTTTTTGTTGGTGTGCGTTAATATTTTCCGGTTAATGCCATTAGCTGGAAGATGCCGCTTCACAAACTTATAAACCTAGACTGGAACGCACCAGGCGAGTTGGTGCGGTCATGCGTTTTTGCATCAAACTTTGAAGTGCCGTCTCTCATGGATGGGGAATAGGGAAGAAAAAGGGGGTTCCACATTATGCCACCTTCAGCTGAGGACGAGGTTTGATCATTTGTGCGAATCGACGAAATAGCGGGCCGTCGCTACCGCGCACATTGACCAAGACAACTTCAACTTCCAAGCATTCGCAGTTCTTGAGGTGAGGTGAACTAGTACACCTCTCATTTCCAACTGCCACTGCATTTCGCTATTCCTCTCCCCTCTTCTTCACCCCCCCCCT